GGCATCATTTCCGCTATACCACCAGAATGGAGAGGCTGTACTCCCTTTTTTGTTAGACCAAAATTGCCATTTAGCGTTACCATTGAAACAAAACTCCAAGAATTCCAGTGCAAACTAAATCATAATGTTTTATTTACGAATATTATGCTTCACCGTATGAGACCTCCTCTCGTCACCTCTAGCCTTTGTTCTTTTTGTCATAATAGCGATGAAACTCTAACACATTTATTCGTTACATGCAATTATGTTACTGTCCTTTGGACATCAATATGTAATAGATGGGGTGAATTTTTAAATACCCCAGACACTTTCACAGATATTCAAATTTTGCTGGGCGATGATCAGTTCTCAAGTTTATTTAACCACATCATTATTATAACTAAACACATTATTTATTCCTGTAAATTAAATGACACTTCACCTTCATTTCGTCTGGTAGAAAAAAAAAGTTATTTATAGGTAATAAAAAATATTTATCAAAAAAAAAAAAAAACAGTGATGACAGAAATGGCATTTTGGTATAAATATGGGTATACTATCCAGGTATAAAAATAGTCACAATTGTGAGCACTCGGAGCACCTCCCTATCCAACTATGTAACAACTGCCCCCGGGGGGGGACTAAGGTTGGTCGAAATATTTATACATACAAGTATCACTAATCCTGTACTAGTAACAGTTCGTATTCCATTCGTTCGTTCATTTGCCTTACTCGGCCTCTAGCATGAGTCGATCTGAAGCAAAATATTGAAATCATTGTTTTGACTCAGTTTACAGTTTATACCCTACTATGTTTTCAATCGTGTGGTGGTTGGGCCGTACATTTCACAGTGGTTCGGGTTTCACGACTTTTTTTCTTTAGTATAGTATAGTGAAAAATACTATTAATAGAGTGAGTTTATTGAGATTTTCGGGTCTCAAGTAACATATTGTAATATGTCAGCTCATTTTTTGGCTAGGGGGATTTATTGTAGACGCTTCTATTTTGTACCTTATACAGCTATAACGAGAGTTTTGATTGGACAATGCAGAAGTTCTTTGTATTGCCAAAGCGGACACAACGTTGAGGTGGAAGCCAACCCAGAATGTATTCACTTTGCAATATATTGCACTCCCGCGCAATATAATGAAATTGACTTTAACAAAGTTGGGAGTCACCAACCCAATTTTCCAGTATTATATCGCGTTTACCATACGTTCATATGGTAGAGATATTATGCAAGATCTTAAATATCATATATTGATAATGATGGGGTACTTTTTGTTGAGCTGAATTATTTCAAAAATCTGAGTTTTAAAAAGTGTCAAGAAATGCAATTTTTCTTAACATTGTGTGGAATTGTTCTAAAAATAGCGATATTTGAACAACAATGAACATTGTCATGCTATTTATGACAAATTTTCTCAAACATTGTGTAACATTCTCAAACATCTACCTTAAATACATGTTGGCTAAATAGAATCTGTCAACGTATAGTGGTGAGGCAATAACCAAATAAACTAACCTTGTTAGACGAAGAATAAAGAAAATACTGCTGACCTAGGCGCTTCGCCAGAAATAATTATTTTTCCCCTGTTTAAACAAAAACAAAGTTGTTCCGACCATGAGATGTTAAACAAATGATGCGATAAAACGCCTTCTTTTTTCTTTATTGTTTCGTTATATATATATATATATTAGCCCAAAACAATAAGTTTGAAACACATCCTTCAAATTGACGCATGCGCTGATCAGAAACAACTCTATTCTGTTGGCCCTGTATACTTTGGCATGCAAAACAAAACCTAACACAGTGAAAGATGAAAAATAACACAACATACATACATTTTTTGGCAAATATTGAACACTAGTATTACGCCACAGTTTATAACATTCATGAATAATCGATAATCATGTCAAAATTAATACAGAAAATGTATAAGAAACATCTTTGTTTTGTGAACAGAACTTTTATAGAGATAATAAATTTGCATACATCTCCCATACTTCTTGTTGGCGATTCCCGGCATGCATCACAAAAACGATTTGAACGTTCTTGATACGCAGACTGATTTATTTTACTTGGCTGTTTGAAAAAATGTGTAATACAATTTTCATACAGAATTCAAATGATGGGATATGTATATTTTTCCCAAGTTTATATTATCCAACCCACCCATTTTATGTAACTAAAAAACAACATAATTATTCGGAGCTACATTATAATTAATAACATCTCGTCAGTACAATATTAATACGAATTAAATACATTAATATTACATCATATTCTGTTATTAATTAACGCGCCCCACGTGTAGAGATTTGTCACTATGACAACTGGCCGTCTGAAGACGTATTCTCCAATGTCCAACGGCAGAGGGCGACACAGTCGGGCGAATAAACGTGCTACAAAATATCGAATGTCACTTATTTTAACAAGTTTCTATAAAGAGTATAATATTTAGTAATATATCTCTTGAAATGAGATCAGCTTGTTGGCAATATACATACGCTGTATTGCACCAGCGGTACTCGGCAGTAGATTTGTAATGAAAGTTAGAAATATTGCGTAGAAAAGAGAATTAAAAAGGTAATATTTGTGTTGTTTTTTTAATATTTTTTTTCAGTATTGAATGTTGATAGATATAGGCACTCTATTATTGTTTATCGTTAATTAAAAATAGTATTTTAATCGCTCACACAAACAATATTTGCATGCGCTTTTATTTTCTGGTACGTACTTTGAATTTAGTGAGTTTTCGCATTTGTTTAATTATTTCTTCGAATCAAGATTGCTGCGCCCTCTTGTGACAACATTTCACACTTATAAACGAATTGCTATTGTAGCTTGTTAAAATGTTGGTTGTATAAATTAATGCTGATGGGAAAAAATAGCCGAACTCAATCCAGTAACCTTGACTACATCGAATATCATCAACATTGTGGGTTGATATAAACATGACGCAGTACACAAATAGGAGAATACGAATACATCTAATTAAATATTCTTTTTCTAGCAAATATTTTATTCCCATATGCCTGACGACAACTTTTGTGTTGACGACATATTTTTTATTTTTAAAAATCTTTTATTTTTGGTAACTTCATCTAACTTCTAACTCCTTAACTCTTGTTTCAGGCGCTCCCTCAGGATGACGTCATCGAAGGACGTTGATTCAGAATTTGCTCTTTTAGTGCCTTCACAAACCAATATTAATTTAATATGTATATGTAAATACATGTGTGCAGATTTCCAAGAAGGCCACGAATAATATAATATAATAGATTATATATATATAATCGGTAATATCATAATCATGATATTCGCAGTAATAATGTTCTACAATTCTTCAGAATCTTCTAAAATCCTGTGTAATTTCACGAAAGACGGCGATTGGATGACAGGGTTACCGTAATCATAATATTCGATTTCGTCGTCTTCAAACCCTTTCACATATTGCGCACTCGTTTGTCCTGGTCTTCCCGGGGGCGTGGCGGCATGTACTGTCTTGTAAACGTCAGATCCGCTGTCCACGCCGACGCGAAAGTTTCTGGAAACAAAGAGTAAAGAGTACCACTATTTATTACCCATAATGCAAATGTGCTTCCGTGTAACACGCAAGAAATGGTTACTCCAAATAAGTGTTCTAAAATACGTTTTATGGATGGTTTCCAATGCATCCATATAAATGTGTCGCTGTGATGGTAAATTAAAGATGCAATATGGTCGAGAACATGTACATGTATTTTTACTATTCATATTAGATGATGATGAACTTGGAATACGTTAGGCTATGATTTATGATAAACTGGCACACTTCGTATTCGTTTCATAAAACGACACAATTCTCTAATACGCATGCGCACTTGTTGTTTTGGTATGGACATTAGCAATCATTGCACATGCGTGCATATTAGTGGTTTTTAATTTTTCATCTAAAGAGTACTCTCGTGTGCCCTGTGAACACAAGATAATGATAAATCATAATAAGATTTGGTCTACAGTATGGTATATCATTTAAACAATAATATTATATTAATATTTAAGTGGGAGGGTCGTCACCTGCGCACGCGCGGAAATCGAATCCCAAGCTCTTGGGTAGACGCTATGGCCATCTGACGCATGCTAACTAGTCCTAAAATAATCGCAAAATGTGTTGATTATCGTTTATTAACTGAAGGCAATTATTAAATACACAGCAATTCTACGCATAGCTCTGTCATAACATTGGTGTAATTTGTCAAAGTACTATACAATTTATATAGTACATAACAAATTTTGGATAGTGATGCAATTGTCATACGTATACAGCTGCGCGTGGTTACCATGGAGATGAGAAAATGTATGGTGTCCAATTGCTGTAATTTGATTTGTGATTTGGCATTTGTGATAATTGTAAATAGCATAATGACAATAAATATGATTGTTTTTATTTTATTTTATTACAGTAAGCATCTTTAATGGCAAAATGTGAATAAAAGAAAATGAAGTAAAACGGACTAAAAGCGAAAAAAATGGTTCTTCTGTTGCACACACAACAATATTCGTTACATGGAAAACACTAGGCATATGAACTGTTTGTTATAATTATACGTACCAACATAACAGTGCGCATGCGTTCATTGTTTCACCGTACGAATACACAGTCGAGAACAGGTTATGACAAATAATAGTTCGTCAATCTACAGTATCGAACAACAATACTAAAATTTGACGTGGTCTAATTATAGACCATTTCCGTTCACTGCGAGATCCCGCATTATGTGTGAAACAGGACAAACGCGACAATCGCTTTATTGTGTGCTGTACACGTTTGACTATGGTGAATTTTGATGAAGTAAAAGTATTCCAACACCATATTCCTCTCTGAAAGAGCGACATTCCGACGGAATAACCGCTCAAATCATTCGATCTTTTGCGGCTGACGTTCGATCCACGGCTTTCACGATATCTCGCAGTTGATGGAAACTCGCTTATTGCATAATATTCATTCTTCAATGTGCCTCAATCCAATATTAAATGTTATCCTATGAGCCATCCCAACAACTGAGTACAATTTACTTTAGCCAGTATTTACGCCAGTATTGGCGGTTTTCCCATGAAACACAATATATTTGTAGAGGACGAAGCAGTTAGCTTTTTGCCACAAGAGGGCGCGGTATAGGCGACGATGTCTCCATCGGAAACTGTATTGAATACGCAATGAGATACACAATGCACAGACGACAAGCAATTGTCTACGCAATAATCGGTCCTAGAAGGACATGAATTACCGACAAAAACGAAGCGGTTATGTGTATTATGAGTGTTATGATGATTGAATTTCCAACAAAATATCGATAGAATGAACTAGTACTAGTATATAGTGTTTACCGCTCTGTATCATATAGTAGGTAAATTCAACAAAGCTATACAAAGTATAGTACTGGTTTACGGTTGTTGTCATAGTGACAGGGGGATATTTGCATATGCGGTTAATGGTTAATAACCACCCCGGTCATAAACCATTAACGCGGACCAATTATCCCAAAGCTAAATTAAGGGGAACTCGTAAAGGGTTCACAACACTCACAATTCGTAATGCAGACACTATAACATCGTGGAGATAGCACGCCGAGATACATTTCAATGAGAGATGTGAGTGGTACGGGGTAATGTATGGACACTCAAGTGAATGACATTCCCACGTCAAACCCGTTCCTGAACAATGGTGTACTCTATGTCCTAGATAGTTTGGAACTTAAAGCGGGGGGAGTCGTCACCTGCGCATGCGTCATATGGCCATAGCGTGTCGTTGTTTACAAACAAACATCTACCCATGAGCCTTTGCGTTTTTAGCGTGTGTTATTATCGTCGCTTGGGACTCAATTCCCGCGCGTGCGCAGGTGACGACCCTCCCGCTTTAATATTGTATGTGTAATCACGTTTAGTAATCGCCAGTTATACCAGTTTATTGATGCACGTTTGAGCAAATATGACGTCACGATTCTTCTTCGCGTTTGCCTGCGATGTTTACAGCAATCAACAATGAGAACCGAGAATACACGTGTCTTTATAATCAGTACAATTTAGCATTTGTACGCGTTTTCCACAAAGTCGTGGGAAAGGTAACCAAAAACAATAGAAATTGTTAACTGTTTTTGGTCTAACAGGGGGAATACAACACTTGTTTTTAATTATGCCAAAATTCGCGACTACAGACTATATATAGAACACATGTCAAATATCCCACGCCTTGCTGAGAATATCGACGCTATCAGTTTTCTCTGGTGCGTGAGGAGTTTTGCGATCAACTTTGCACTCTTCACCATTTTCAATTGCGCGTACGTACCCGTTTCACATGTTAATTTTCAAAGTATAAAAGTGATATGGTTGACCCTAGATCACTTTCAATGTGATTATCTGCGCTGACATAACTAATAAAACGCAGTTTGATTACAAGGTCAGAACATTAGTTAACTACGTTACGACCAACTCTGGTCATGTGCCCTCTAATACCGCAAGCATGCAGCTCACTTTCTTAACAATACAAAGTTCCTACTGAACAGAAATTATAATTTAAACCCCAGCGCTTCCTTTGAAATTTATCACCCATTAACCATGGTTGCGCAAACATGATGGCATGTATATACCCACAAGGCCATGATAGCAACCTATCAAGTAGACAATAGGGCAAATACCATCTAGACATCAAAGCGGCGGCATAGATAAGTTTGAAAATTTGATAGCATTTTGGTTTAAGGTTTATACACACACTGGGTTATAAGGTGTCGTAAAGTGAAAATATGCTGTAGTTTGTAGCGCTCAGAGTAGTAGTCATTAAATGAAAAATGAACAGCCTTTGAAATGTTAGCCTGACATGTAGGCGTGAGTGGCGCCCTCACCGACCGAACGGCATCAGACCCCGCGACCTTGTCAGACTATTGAATTGTTGGTACGTTCATGCGCATTTGAATAAATTTAAGTTTTGAACGTGTTACACTAACAGTGTTACTACACATTGCATACGCCATGTTTTGTAATGTACATGGAAACAGTCAGCATCGGAAACTAAACAATTTATTCTATACTTACAGTGGTCGTGGTTTTGTCTTGGCCGCGTCTTGAATAGCGTTATACACATTCCCAGTTGAGCGACGTGGTTGGTTTAAATGTACGGGATCAGGCCCTGAATCTGAATACGTACGTGTGTTATAGTATTCTGCCTCGGATTCGCTAAAATATTGGGGATTAGTATATTTTGGTATTTCTTGTTGGTCATTTTGCACAACGTAATCATTTGTTGACATCCAAACATGGTGTGGTTGGTTTCCATGACTACGAGGACCGTGTAAATGTGTATGAGTAGGGAAGTGCTTCTGGTAATCTGATGTATTTTTGTCTTCACTGCTGAACGGTGTTGCGTTTCTTCTCTGTAATAATCAAAAACACAAAACAAAATTGTTGGCAACCATCATGGTGAAAACAAAGGGTGTGCTTAAACCGAAGAACGAAGAAAATATATGTTATGATTAAACAGTATGAACGATGAGTGCATGTAAATGTATTAAACTGTTATGATTAAACAGTATGAATATTCTGTCTTCGTTCTTTGTTTTTCGTTCTTCGGTTTAAACACACCCGACAACAAATTTTCAGAAAACGGTATTTTGGGATGGTTGTTGACACCCCCCTGAACAGTGTAACAAGATTACCCCTACATATGCAACATATTTAAATTTGATTGTTTAGGATGTCTTCAAAGTTTGTGCTGTTTTCTCGATTTTAGCTATTTTCACCGGCTTTTCGACCGGTGTTTCACAGCAGCTCACCCGGCAGCTCGCGCAGAGCCCATATAAATACAAGGTAGAGTGGTGCGCGTCTTAAATAGCAACGTTGAGCGTCTCGTGAATTAGTTCCGCCCCGAAGATTATGATAGCTTGGCCAAGCGCGTTGAAGAAAGAAGCAATATGATTGGCTGTTGGTAAACTGATTCTAAACTGTGAGGGCATTGTCACATACACGTAGTCCTAATGAAATACTTCAATGTGATAGTGGAGTGCTTCGCCGGAACATTCACCTTGAAAATTCAAGATGGTAATTTCATAGTGAAAACATATTTATTTTGCATCGCATGACCGCCATCATCATCACCACCACCAACCACTAATACCGATGACTGTAAACATGCACCAATATCTATTTCATCTCTATATCCGGGTAAATGTCATACTTACATAATCTGAGTACTGTGTTGAATCCGCAGGTCTCCATTCTGGTTTTCCGTGCGGGGTGTCCCTCAGTTCAGTCGGTGCGGGCGCTCTTTGAAATGTGGTACCGCCTGCGTACTCGCCTCGAGAATGTTGATACTGTGACGATCGATACTTTTGTTCAGGGACATCATTCAACGCACCAAAAGTTATGTTTTCTTTATTTTTATGAAAATCCATTTTTTGTCTAGATTGCTGATGTTGATTTAGACTAGACATATCGCCTTCACTATAGCGGCCCTTTCGTCTACGAGTATATCTAGGAGTAATGGCCTCGGTGTCGGACATAGCTACAACGTCGTCTGATATGAGCGCTTCTATTTTGTCGTAATATTTTGGCATTGTGGTCGGTTTATTCAGCGCGCGAGGCGTATATTGAGGTTCTCTAACCACTTCTCCGGCAGCACGAGTTAGGTTTGGTTCTGTACCGTTGTACTGTCGGCTTCCATGGACAGCCGTTCCAGCACTTGCTCTTCGTCTGGACGTATTCCCGCCAGGGTGTTGATGATGACCGGCGTTGAGAAAACTGCGACGCAAATTACCTCGATCGTAGTCCTCGGTATCACTGTAAAATTGGTTGCTAGGGGCAACGTAAGTTTTTACTGGCCGTCGTCTTGGTTGTCCTTCGATGTCGCTGTGATTAGGCACAGTGTCACTTCGCCTGATGTACCGCGTACGATGGTCTTCAACATCGCTATAGTATTGCTGACTCGGCATACCATGCCGACCGGTGTTTTGTCGACTGATTTCAGCGCGACTGTACAATTGCTTGTATGGGTTAACTACGCCGTTGCTCTGTGGAGATGACTGAGCGTTTCTTGATCGGGTGGGATTTCTGTTCATAGCTGCGGGTCTAATGTTTTGTTTTGGTATAGACGCCACCGAGCTTGGTTTATCGTGTTGCTCCTTTTTACTGAGCAACTGTTGAGGGCGCATGATTTCACCGTCGCTGTGATACGCATCCTTCTCAACCCTGCTGGGACGGATTTGATATTGACCGGAATCCGTTTTTGCATCTCTTTGCTCAGTCTCGTGTTGGAGCCGACCGTAGTATCCGGGAACCTTGGTGGGACTTCTCATAGGTTCATACTGCTGTTCCCGAACTATTTCCTCTTTATTACTTGTCGCTGACCAAGAACTACACAGTGATTCCACGTCGGCGTCATCGGGATTGGAACCATAGAGATGCGCCTTGGTGATTGGGCTACGAGTAATAACAGGCTTGTATACCGGGGAGGACTGCTTCGTACGCGGATCATGTATACAGCTTTCGAAATGCGCACTGTGTGGTCTTGCAGGAGTTGGCACACTGTCACGACGCGGTTCATATGCATCTTCATAAGTTGCCGGAGAATGATGTTTCACGTCAAAATACCGATCAGGTGTTGCCATGGATATGACATTATGGGTTGAACCATTTTGGTTAATAAGCCTTTCATTGGTTTCTATTGGCGACTTTACATGAGACGACGGCGACACAAAATTTCCCCTAGTTGCTCCGACCTCGTTCCCGGCAGTTTGTTTCCAAAGTTTAGTTTTGTCTTGCGAGGAATTCGACATATTAAGCTCACCAGTACGCACTGGGGTATGGCCGTGGAGAGGAGGACTGAATTGGGAAACGAACGAGTGAGTTGATGACACCGGTGACGTTGCCATGGTGACAGCGCTGGTAGGCCTATTCCATACTGCTTGTGGGGGTGCGAATTTATACGTTCCCCTATTGAGAAAAAAAAACAGGAAAGGGAGTTCAATTTGTAAAATAATGCCGATTTTACTAATTTTAAAATGTAGTCGTTCAGTCAGCGATAATTTGTACCCACGGCATTCAGTAAAACACAATAATTACAAACTATATATTACACATCAACTTGAACAAAACACCGCTTTCATGAAATCATTTGTTTGTCAATCACGTTCGCAACATTAAGTTAGCGTGAACTAATGAAGCACGAATCACGTCCTGTGCAGTTGAGCGGATTAATGATTTGTATTAGTTTTACTGAAATGAATAAAAACAATGTAAATCGTACATTGTACACAGGTGTGTGTGCCTACGAACACCTGTGACCTACGACGAGTTCAACATCCGGGCATTTCAATGGAAAGTTGCAATTCCTTACCTTCGAACTACAAGGCGGAGATCTCTTGTCGTAGAACGTATTATTTTAGTAGCCTCTGTCAGAGCCATGTCTTTTGTCCAATCATCGTTTATCTTCACAATTACGTCATTTGTTTTAACGTTTGCCTGGGCTGCCTTGCCTGTTGATATCAACTGAGAGATCACGTGATTTAATTTATGATTGACAGTATTGCGTTCATGCACGTGCGATTTAACAGTGCTTTGTTAGTATATGGTTAGCATTTCAGGAGTAATTATGTCGTCTTGGAGTAATTATGTCGTCTTGGGCGGAGACTTCTGCTGTGAAATAAGCAAAACAAGTCCCTGGGAACTGCCAACGTCAGAACAATAGTCTGAACACATGATTATACTGACAATGGTACATGTTTTAAAAGTCTATACGAACTACATATGTTGGAATAATTCACATAATTGTGCATACATTTGTATATACCATATAAATATCATCTTAATATGTAGCACGTGATTAATTGTATCCAATCACAGATGCAAATATTGGGAAACAGAATATCTCAGTGTAATTCACGCTAAATTCTCATGGGTAAACGTGGTTCACTGTAAAGTCGATACGTGTCCAGGCGGGGGTGCTGTGTTCCGATATACTTACGTATTCTAACGAGGATGCAATCGGAAACATGAGTCGCGCCCTCTAACTTCGAGGCGTGACGTTAATGTTTGAAATGGAGGTCGTTCACATCGTCGATGTTTTAATCTGTGGTCATATGCCAATAAAACCATTTTTTTGAAAAACCCTCCTACGAAACTTTAACGTCATATAAGCTTTGTGTCGCTAGAGGGCGCTACTTCCAGGGAAGCTGCTTGGAAGCTGTATTATTGCTTGATTTATGGCCGCCATGCTTTGACACTGATACGCATTGTTGAGGATAATATGCGAGATATTTCTGAGTTCGTGATGATGTGTTTATGTGTTAATTTTATCAACGTATGTTGAGTTACAAGACAAGTCATTCGGTTCAACGTTTAATGACTTGTTGTTGGTATGGTTGAATTCATTCCAATGAGGGCAAATATTCTCTGACAATTGGGAGTCGTTTTTACTATGTCGACATGTTGTCAGGTTAATGCATGCGCTCTTCTTTTGTGGGACAAAATAAGTATACTAGGGGGTCTTTGTGAAACTTTAACGCCACTGTCATGAAACAGTGTAGCGAGAGGAAAGTCGTCCTGCTACCAAAAACTTAAGATGCGCAAATTCCGAGCACATATTTTCTTTATGAAAAATGGGGTTTAATATTATTACAAATGTTCTGTTTGTAAACTTTAAAAGAGTAGGAAATCGTTTCGTTTGATTGTATATAATGTTAGTATTCGTAATCTTAAACCCCACTGTCGTTAATTTAAATTGTTAACTACAGATTATGCATCTTGGCTAAGTTGCAAAGTGTGATCAGTATACAATCTTCTACGTGGGGTTCACATGAGAAGATTCACACTATATAAAAAAATATGAAACATGTTTATTTCAATAATTGGCTGAAACTAATTAATATACACCTATACTTAGTTAACAGACTATTTACCTACATGATTGGATACACATATTCAAATAAAAAAAATGTAAATTATTAATTAAATATTTTAATAATTTACATAAATTATGTACGACTTCGTTTATATCTCACGTGCATTATCGCGAGGTGGAGATGATTATATTCGTCCTGTTGAAAACTGAAGGATCATTCTTGATTCAAGTAATGGGTTATGTAATGCATCCATGACAAATAAATCAACTTTTCGTATCAGTGTCATGATACGGCTGCCACTGTTGAGACCTTTCGAATGATTATTTTTATGATTTGTGTAAGCCATACTAATTCAGAAGACTACTATTACATTCGACCTCATATTTTAATTTAGACAGTATACGTAGAGTATAATCCTATATTGAACTTTAACCTTTAAGTTCCGATAACGAAAACAGCATTTGGACTTGCATATTATTTTCTGACCACCGGGTTATGAAAAACAATCCCGAAGTAGGAATTCCTCTGGACCTACTTTTTTTTTAGATTACTACTTTTACATTGTCCCCGTAGTTTATGTTTAATTTTTATTGTTGGTGATTTAATACTGTCATTGCAATGTTGTTTTTATTTTATTATATACTAGTACATATTTTAGTGGGCCTCAGGGTAGATTAGAATTCAGCTTAATAATTACTAACAGTGAATAGTGCTTTATAAAAATGTACTGACCCCCCCCCCCCCAAATATTACATTTCAAGAATGGTTACATTTTTTTTCTTATTTGAAGAAAATATACTTGCATTTGAAATTGACTTTTTGCAACGCATATTAAGCACGTTTTTGTTTGGTATCCATATGTGTCCGTCGGTATATGATTCTTTGGTCTGTTTTTTTTTCTGAACGAATAAAATGTGAGTATTGTAAATAACTCGAAATATTCACTAAAAATGATCTTGGAGATGGGAGTACGCGATTGTACACAACCACTGTCCCTTCATACGAACGATGGTACAACGTTCTTTTTTGTAATAAGACCGTAGATAAAGTCTTTGTAACTTGGCTCAGAAACGGGGCTAGAACTCGGGAATGTTTCTCGCGCGTTTATCGGGCAACTGAACCAAACGACTGTATGTTTATTTTAATCAATTACTGGCGGATCTTGATGCATATTCAATATTATTATATATAATTATATATTATTGATCTAATATATCGATGTTTTAACATATTAATTAGCTGCATGATTTAATACGAACTTTTAAATTTCATTTTCTGTTTATTAAATTACATCATTATTTGTTTACGTGTATTGTATGACACGGAACGAAAACGATCCTTGGAAACCCTTTGAGATTTGATATATAATACAAGATTTACCATAAACTAAACAATTGGCCGTCTTAGTGTCATGATACGTTTGCCACTGGTGGGACCTTGGAATATATCTGACAGTATTTTTTATGATTTATGTAAACCATACTAATTTAGAAGTCTCCGATTACACACGAAGATGTGTAAGTATTCCTCGTATTATGGATAATCTAAAAACGCTGCGGTTGATATCTTGTTGGGGGCGTGTTGATAATTACTCATATGTTTCTGTGATTAAGACAAGTGATACCTATATATACATATTTATATAATTTTTTAAGTTTCTGAGGAAAATCCAAATCGTGTGTGTGATCTTAAAACCAGTATGTCACCATTAACATTATTGATACATGTTGGAGTCATGATACTATTTTACCGACTGTGGTGCATTTTCTGTTCCCGTGATTTGATTTTAAGTAGATTTGTTCATTTTTATGAGGGGCTTACTGTATATGCTTAACGCGTCGATGCACTATGCATCAATATATTCTAATTTGAAAAAAATATCGCGTTGGTGCGTTTATTTTTCTGTGATTGCATACGTAATACCAGGCGGACCTTTATTCTCTCCGCGGATATAGTTATCATATTTTATGTGATATCGCATAACGGATATACGAATCATACGATTACTGCGCTGACAGTTTGCATGAGTTTAACGCATGAAATGTACACTGCAATAAACATCCATCCGCACAATGCTTGGGCAAGTAAACATTTATCGCCATGACTCTAAAAGCCAACATACGTTTACAGTAAAAAAGGAAGGTAACTGGCTGGGAGTGAATAGAGAGAGAGCTGTAAATCACATTTAACCCTGTCATTGGCAGGTAACATGGGTGTGGGTGAACCGTACAACAAGGCAGTCATCTGAAACGTCAACTTTAATTTCTCGTCGAGTTGTTATTGTTTAAAGAATTCTGTCTCGCAACTCCTACAAAATGACGTTTGTTCTAAACACTCGCGTCGAATTATGGGTTCACTACGCAATCATATACTTTAGGTTCATGGTTTTACTGTACTGTAAAGTGGGGGAACATGACCTCTGTTGACCTATATGTTTAATGACTACATTTTAACTATGCAGGATTCGTTGGTATGTGGTAGTGTTTAAAAGGGCGATTCAAAGGCCACGTATATACTACCTGTAAGCTGAATAGGTGCTCATACCAATTAAGACGATACCCCGCCACAGTTGTACTGCATTTAGAACTCAATATTTGCAATGTTTTTTATTTTTATTTTAACAATTCGGGCGAGATTTTAATCAATTTAAATGTATATTTACGAAAAACAGGAGTACATTAAATAACACATGGTTTGATTAACGACAGATCGGTGAAGTGTCCTACCTTATATACAGTAAGCGGCTCGTTCGATTCGACGCCTCCTTTAACGCGAAATCCCCAAGGGCCTTCCCCCGATAGGGTGACTGCGAAATCCATTTCCACGTTGAGGATACGACCACTCCCGTGTTTTACTAAAAGTGATATAAACACACGTCATATAAGTAATACGCACAAATTAAAATCAAATTAGACAAAATCACGTTTTTTGTGAACTTACATGAATAGCAGCTCCCAGCTAGTTTGTTTGGGAAGAACACTTACAGGCAAACGTTATTGCGCATGCGCATTTCATACGTTCGATCATAGACGCTCCAGTAGAGTCTATGGTTCGATTTATCATGTCTCTTTCCGGAGGCGCAAATAAACAAACAAATATGTCGACGTCACAACATCAACTGTGTTTGTCAAGTTTTTCCTCATTTTGAAAGATTGATTCCAAGTACTGAGCATACAAGAAGGCGACAACACAAATAAAAGTCAAGTTTGTCAGGTCGAAACCTAACAATAGAGTATTTTCAACTTAAAAGTCTGCTCACAGTGCAACAATGAGTTCGGTGTCTTCCGTCAACAGACGTTACTAGTAAGCTTCGTGCACAGAAACTACAGCATGCTAGCCACGATAGCATTTACACCAATTTAGTTTCACCTCGGCCAATGAAACAAGTAAACACAGACTATTATACATGTTCCCACGTCTGAGCAGTGTTTAATTGCTCTTTGATGACGTGAGGTAAATTTTCTTTCAGGCTCTCCTGCTCGGATTTCTAGTCAATCTCAAACAAAGCTCTGTGGAACCGTTGACTCTCCCGTTATGGTGTCACTGCGCTCACAAGACCGTGCATTTTGAATTGCGTCACGTACACGTGAAAGCATAGAAGAAAGTATTGTTACGTAGCTCGCGAGTCTGAACCACATTTCAAGCGTTTAAACTGCTTGTTCCCCAAGGTTATTCAGCAGCAGGTTATACGTTCTACTTTTTACACTGCATGGCTCCCTTGTGGAGCCTCCTTCAAACTGAAGTGTTTCTTTGCCAACAAAACATTGATCAAAACACGTCCACGAGTTCCCGGGTGAGATTATAACGCAGGACACATACATATAACTGTAAAAGGAGTATTGTTAATAATTCCGAGTGGTACTCTTAATGGCTCTCCTTAAAATACCCTTACAGTTTTACCACTTATTTCATGATCAATAACAACCGATGTTCAAAATGAACGTTTCCATTGTTTAGTCAGTTGTTGCCATTCGTTTGTTTCGTGTTCTTGAACTTGTAAATTTCCCTATACTACTTTTGTATGAAGATCTGCTGTTGGGTATGTTATTTCCACGTTACCATGGAAACTGTGTCTCGTCTTTTAATATTAACTAACTATTGCAAGATAAGACAATTTTGAAAAAGACTTTAAAAAAATTGTTGACCATTTTTTTAGTAGCGATTTAAATAATAATCTAATTTATTTTATCACCGTGTACTGCGGAATACGAACAATGTTCAGAAACTGGACACGTGACCAAACCGATCACGTGACCAGTCTTACTTGTTGAACCATTGCACAATACAGAATGCCAACAATGTTCATTTGCAACACGTGACCAATCTAACACGCTGTTTCAATGCACACTATCGAATGCGAACAATGTTCAGAGACTTGTCACGTGAGCAACCTAATTTATTGTACCACTTTTCAGAAACTGGCTCATCTAACTTGTTGTACCGTTGTCACAAAACCTGGACACACTGCAAGTTTTAGTACGTGGTTGTAATGAACATGAAAATATTAGATTACATATTTTGAAGTATGGCTGTACCCAAAGGCCAATCATGTATCAAAGGCATGCGCATAGGACAAAATAGTCATCTAGTTAATTTTCCAATTTATTGATTAAATTCAGCTTTAAATTAGGGGGCAGTAAATCTTGATTCTACAGTAGTTTATGCTAGTCAATTCACATTTTTAATTTTTTCACTGATTGAGTGTCTCTAGAACATTTTGATCTGGAAACCATCACAGAAAACAAATATTGTCAGAAAAAAAGAGAACAAACTCTTCATCTTCTCAAGACTACGTGCATCTGTGTAATATGGCTGCTGCCCCATTCCCAACCAAACAACGTTGCCAGCTTAATATATTAGAATGCAGGCCTGTGATCATCACCACAGTTGTATGGAAAGCTGTGGGCGTAGCGATAATGGTGTGGCATTTGGGGATTGCGAGTTTTGGTCTCAAGAGGCTTGGAATTTGGATGCCTGAGACTGTAATGCTGTCACCCATCTCTGACTCTGAAACTAGTGAGTGTGTGGTCAGGAAACTAGTAGCCAGCTGGTCTCGACGTCACCAGAGGTGTTGAGTCATCAATCAATGAATTCTGATCAGAATTCGCAACGTTTATTGCCTGCTTATAGTCCTTGGATGCCAATTTCTGTGACTTCCCTGATCGTGACTCACTTGCCTTACCAATCCGCGGCCGGGCGAATTCCTGACACCTGTACCCGCCAGTTGATTATCTTTTCTAACGATATGATGATTTCCAACCAATACAAAACTAGTATCCAGGCGTATATTGATCTTGCCTCATCTGGAGTGTGAATGAGTCTTCAGTGCCATAAATCCAGGGAAATGCATCTCAGCAATGCATCGAGTTTCATCAATGCAGTTGATGCCACGTTGGGCCTTCTTTTGCCATTGCCAACAGCAGTATCATCTTCAATTCTACAGTCACCAACACAATGGCACCTAATGGAACCTCAGAAGCCCTTCGAAAAAATGATGTGCTACCAATTACCATTTCCTTATTGAGCCACACTTGCTGATGGTTCCATTTACTAGCAATAGCATGCATTTCAACCAATGCTTTGTTTTCTCTACATACTTCCCGAATGCAATCGGCCTCAAAATCACATCATCTTCTGGGAATCATTTGTCCAAGGCCAACAATCTAAGGTGTACAAATTTAAAGGACCCATAGAGAAGCATGCAACCAACTGGATGCTAGCCAACCACCAACAACCTGTTTGATGGTTAACCTGGCAGTGTAGCCCACATTGTACAGCCTCATTGCCAACAATCTATTTTCCAGCCACTCACCGACTGCTAATGTTTATTCTACAATGGGGAAGTTTGGTATCTGACAATGTTATACATTCAGTCATATGCGACTAGTACTATCGCAGTGAGTACTATCCACGGACCTTCTTTCAGATCCGGTCCTTGCATTCATTGCACACTGTTAGCGTTTAGACATTTAGTCAAAACTCAGTCCTGCACTACCTCGACAAAGTATAGAATCAGCGATGTTGAACAAACATGCAGTGGAAATACTTCTATGGAGCAAAGCCATGTTGTTGCAATTGCAAACAATCTGACGAAAGAGTCAATGTATTCAATGTAACCCAGTCGATAGTGAACCAACTGTATCAATCTATGGTCAGTGCGATCTATAGACCTATTTACCAACCACTGGTGAGTGGTTGCATGTCAAACACAATGCAATCTAATATTGACTTGGATCACACTAGCAATGACAAGGCAGAACGTGATTATTTCTTTCCACCATTTCAGCTCATAGCTGCAGTCCTTTTCAAACTGCAGAGAGTGAATAATATTATGTTACCACTGGATTAGCTGAGCAGGACATAGTTTCTCCTGCTGCTCAGTCGTCTGTAAGCTGCATTCTATAAACTTATTATTCATCAAGGTTTCATCACTAAATGACTCGATTCAAAAACAGTTTTATGGAAGGTATATCCTCCTTTATTACAAATGATCACTGAAGTTTGAACATAACCTGGATCACATACTATAAATTTCATCTCCCAATTAGTTAATGAGCGGTTTTGAGATGTATATTGCAGGGGAGATATGTGGTGCTGTAGCGGACAAGATGGCTCACCTTCTTTCGAAACTTCTGAAATCAGGTCTTGGTTCGTTTTCAGAAGGTCCATGTTGTGTGATGCTGTGTTGTGTTTTGTTTTCTGGAGTTGTACATTTGCTTGTGGATTCTGACTGTTGTCGGAGTTGATTTAGTTAGTCCTCTATGTTTGTATAAGATGGTCCTAGCACAGTAACAGTCCTTCAAAGACGATATTGATGTCGTTTCAGACACAAGCTATTAAGGAGTAATTACCAAGCAATATTCCTCTTTGTTTCTTTGGCAGTGCCAGCTTCTTTAACAGGACCCCTGTATGAACCCTGCATTTACACACCTATATTCACATGGTTTCATAAGATGGTATTCTTGCAATTACATCCAAACAATTTCCATTAGCCACGAATCTAAGTTTGAGTACAAATTACGAGCTTAGAACTAGGAATATTTCCTCTTTTGAATCTTACATTAGGTCTGATAGCCCAACTGGGTGTCTGAACTGTGCAGTTTGGGTGATAAATGTTTATTTAACTAAGACAAATAAGTCTTGGAAGGTATGTACTAGCTCATCGTTTTTCTGCTATGCAAAAAGGAAACAAGATGAACTACTAGTAGCCAGTTGCAAAATAGACAGTTTTGTCATTACTAGTATTACTATTACTACTACTATAAGTTTTTTCAAGGGCTTACATACATGACATCAACATTGGCATTTTCTGGACAGTGTTACTGGACCATGTTCTTGCCATCAGCTTCTGGCATTGGGAGTTAACTTTCACCAGAACCTACGTCTTTGACAATAATGGCTGACACACGCCGAACCCCATTAGTGGAGGTGTGTAAAAAAAACTTGGAAAGCACTGTGTCACAAAGCCAGAATACATTCCAAATCATTTGTGGGTTCCTGCTAACACACAAACGATACAATCCATACTTATTTCAATTTGACTTACTAATAAAATTAGAATTACACTTGTTTGGAGATGTTTCATACATTCTGTAAATTTTATTACCTGGCAAGCTGTGACTTTATTACCGAAGCTGTGACCTGTATTCACACTCCATGGAAAAACTGGGAAAGTGTCAACGGCTCCTTTTTTGTGAAGAATTGTCTGTCTGCTGATATAAGGCAACACCCGGTTGCTAAGCAGAGGAGACACCTGCCTGACTGCCAAGAGGAGACACCTGCCTGACTGCCAAGAGGAGACACCTGCCTGACTGCCAAGAGCCTACACCCCAAGTTTTGTGATTCCCCTTAGTAATTTTAGTAGGGACAAACTAGCTTGGTGAGATTATATACTAAAAACCTTCAAGCAACCTTCAAATCTTGGTGTGTTTCCTGTCTCTGCGCATAATTCTAATTGAATGGGTGTACATAAACGATCACTGTACCTCCGCTGCTAAGTGAGTTTCCCCGACTCAAAGAATCCCACTCCCGATATCCTGACCACACAGCGAACAATACACACC